GAAATGTCAGCCGTAGGGCATCTTTTTGCACTTACCGCTAAGAAGACGTCCCACGAAGCTACCGATGGAAAGAATCGAGACGTGCATCTGTTGACGACGCACAAGAAACTCTTCACCTTTGGTGCTGTCGTAGTGTTTCCATAATACGTTGGCATCATTTCCGATATTGCTAGAATTTGTGAGTCCTCGTGATGTTTCTATAGAGTCGAAGAAGCTGCACTTACTTAATAGTCATGAGTCCAGCACCGGCCAGGATCGACATGATGGTGAATAATTGCCAAAAGTCCAGGCAAGTCAGGAGCTGGAATCCACGAATATCTACATGATGAAACGCATCTCGATCAACACTTGCATTCCCATCATGATTCACAGCCGACGTGCCCGACATGAGTGACGACGATTCGTCCGGTACAGCTTCTTCGGTGCCTGCGCCGCCTGCTACTTGAGTAGGGGCGGATCCGGGACCGGATTGCTCCGCCGTGACTTGAGTAGTAGTAAAGTTGTTGGACGTACCAGGTTCATCATCAAACATGGCGCGCTGCTGGTGCCTACGCGCCGACGACGTTCGTCGCAGGCGCTGTCCGGGTACGCTACTCGCCGACGGCTCCGTCCCCGGCACGGCCTGATACGACGACGTGTGGGGGTAGGCCTTGAGGAAGAAGAAGCCGGCAAAAGTCAGGGCGACGGTGCCCCAGGCCAACAGCTTTAGGAACGAGCTGGGGTCGCCGGGGAAGAGGATAGAGCCCAGAAAGGAGAAGAAGAAGGCGCTGAGGCCAAAGGCGGCGAGGGGAAACGCCGTGGCCGTGCCGCGGTGGTGCGGCCAGTTGAGCGCCGACACCTTGACGGCGGCGAAGAAGGCCAGACAGCTGCCCATGCCGGTGAGGTACGAGAAGAAACAGAGGACGGGGACGGAGCCGGACGCGGCATCGTACGCGCGGTGCAGCGGAAAGTAGCCCACCCCGAGCAGCACAGCGCCGAGGAGGACAGCAGGCCCGGATCCGACCGAGGGATGGTCGACAAACATGCCAACCAGAGGACCAAGCGAGTACATTCCGAAATTACCAGACAGGCCGACCAGGTTGCTCTGCGTCGCCGTGAGCTTCAGCCGCTCAGCAAACTGCGGCGCCCATGCTGAGTAGACATACTGTTGGTGATTGGGTGGGTGGATTAGCGAATCCGTGTTTCAACTTGCGTCACTCAAGCGTATGAGAACCTGAGAGGGGGGGGGGGGGGTAAGGGAGAAAGCCAAAAGGCTTTGAGGAAAAGCGCAGATTGAACGAACATTTGTGCCGCAGGCTAGCGAAATGACGGTAGCCGCAATGCTGGCGACGATTCTCTTGCGATTTACGTTGTCGACCTGCATGCTGGGCAAGCCGGGCGCAAGCGGGCTGATGTCCGTCGCAAAGGGAGAATGATGGGCGCTACTTGTCCCGTCGGCGGAGATGGAAGAAGAGAAAGAGCTATGCTAGCAACGCAAGCCCATCGAGAGTGGAAGCTGTTTCCTGAAACAGCTGCAGAAGAAAATTGCGTAAAGAGAGTGAACCTGGGACGGTTGAGATGGTGATGCGAGAAGACAAAAGGAACCGAGGCGGATCGGGTCAGTGTCCCGAATGTTGACGCAGATACGCAGATAGCCATTATCTAACGTTATTACCTGCCTATTACCTACCCTAGATACGGATTACCGTACCAGGTTATTTATGAGATAGCAGTGTCCGTGGTCGGCGTGTGCTCCATCTGCCCAAGACTTAGCATCAAGACCGCTATAACATCGCTAAAGAACTTTGAATTACAGCGCTACCTCCTACCCGGAAGCCAGGTTTCAGTGCATCTCAGCCCCCGCGCACTGTGAATCTAGCGGGCGTTTTTGGCGGGTTTCAGCGGCTTCTATCATCGTGTGAGACCCGACTTACGTAATGCCTGCATTTAGCAATGCGGCGGCGTCACCTGTGCCCGTCATCATTTCGGCCATCATCAAACACCGCGATAATCCGAGCAGCCAGCGACAACCTCGACGCGCTGGTTACCCTCACACCTTCACCTAATAAAAAACGCCAAACTCGAAAGATCTCTCCCTTCTAGTCGTCCTAGAAAATCACGTCACCGGCCCTCACCATGGGTGCGCTTCTCTCCCTCCCGCTCATGGCGGTGCCTAGCGTGACTACGGTAAATGACACTGCATCTCGCGACCATCGCGATTCCTAAGACTGACATGACCGGCTTTCATATAGCTACTCTCGTTTGGCGCCAGCTGCTGCGGAGCGGCAACATGCTCCATGGTTTGCAGCGCATGCGGCAAGTGCGGCAACAGGTTCGTCCACCATCCGCGCCCTCGCTTCGACCATTGCCTCACTCTGCCAAGACCAACACAGCTAACCTGTCTACTCGCAGTGTCGCGACCCGCATCGCCTACGCCCTTATACTCCTAGTCAACTCGATCGTCGCTTGGATCATGCTCACGCCGTGGGCTATTGAGAAGCTGCAGCACCTCATGCTCGACTACGTCAAGATCAACTGTCCCAACGGCGAATGCTACGGCTGGCTCGCCGTGCACCGCATCAACTTTGCCCTCGGCATGTTCCATCTCATACTCGCCGGCCTGCTCTTTGGCGTTGCCTCCTCCAAGGAGCCCCGCGCGGCCATTCAAAACGGCTATTGGGGCCCCAAGGTCATTGCCTGGGTTGCCTTTGTCGTCATGTCGTTTCTCATCCCCGACGAGTTCTTCATGTTCTGGGGCAACTATATTGCGCTCATCGGTGCCATGCTGTTCCTACTTCTCGGTCTTATCCTTCTCGTGGACCTCGCGCACGGCTGGGCCGAGTACTGCCTTGCGCAAATCGAAGACACCGACTCGCGGCTATGGCGCACCGTCCTCATCGGCTCCACGCTCGGCATGTACGCCGCCTCCCTTGCCATGACCATTGTGCAGTACATCTTCTTTGCCGGGTCGGGCTGCTCCATGAACCAGGCCGTCATCACCATCAACCTCCTCCTATGGCTCATCATCTCCGCCATTTCGGTCAACCCCACAATCCAGGAGCACAACCCCAAGGCTGGCCTCGCGCAGGCCGCCATGGTCGCTGTCTACTGCACCTACCTCACCATGTCTGCCGTCTCCATGGAGCCTGACGACAAGCAGTGCAATCCGCTTCTCCGCGGCCAGGCAACGCGCCGCACTTCGGTCGTTCTCGGCGCCATCGTCACCATGCTCACCATTGCCTATACGACGACCCGCGCTGCCACTCAGAACTTCGGTCTTGGTGGCGGCAACAGTATCCGCCTGCCTGACGATGACGAGCACGACCTCGTCACCCAGCAGCCCGGCAGCCGACGCGAGATGCGCGCCGAGGCCCTTCGCCGCGCGGTCGAGGAAGGCAGCCTACCCGCCGACGCTCTGCTCTCCGACGACGACGACGGTGAGCACGCCAACGCCGCGCACGACGACGAGCGCTCCCGCACTCAGTACAACTATTCCATGTTCCACGTCATCTTCTTCCTCGCCACCACCTGGGTCTCGTTGCTCCTCACCATCAGCCACGAGACGGCCGTCGAGCCCAATAGCGACTTTGCCAGCGTCGGGCGCACCTACGCCGCTAGCTGGATCAAGATTGTGAGCGCCTGGCTGTGCCACGGTATCTATATTTGGAGCCTGGTCGCGCCCGTGGTTCTTCCGGAGCGTTTCGACTTTTCTTAGACGTGTACATATTGTGCACCATGCTCATGTAAGCCTGCGAGGGGGGGGGGGGGGGTAATTGGTCTTTCTTTCTTTTCTGCCTCAATTCTTTATTTATTATAGCGGTATTCTTATGGATGGCGTTGGATTTGCTCATCTTGTTCGACATGAATCTTTGAGCGAAATATATGATTATAGCCATCTCCAGTGTCTCTCAAGCAGCAAGTGCCTTTGTATGGTAATCTTTTCGCCACAATTCACCTGGCATATACTGAAATGAATGTTCAGCGATGATTTTTTTATTCCAAGAGATGGAGGAGCTGTTCCGCCTCCCATCATAAGTATGTGAAAATTATTTGTGCATCAATGTGTTGGGCTTCTTTCTCCACGGTTGCTCTCTTGACAAGAGGCAAATAAAACATTATTCCCCTTACTTTGGTACTTGCTCCCTCCCAAATATAGAACAACGCCTCGACAATGCTCATTACACAAGAAATCAGGCAAGCAATCCGATGAGGGAAAAGGCACATCAAAGATCCCAAGCCACCACCCTAGTACCGTTCCATTTCCTTCTCATATTCATGAGCGAAAATCATGTACAAGTATTAGATATTAAAAAGTCAAAATTCCTTCCCTTGTTCAGCGATGCCCTTTTTATGCCAGCCACGAAATGAAATCGAGAAACATGAGCTGGAAAGAGACATTAATGGTAGTGACGGTAGTGGTTATGTTGAAAGAGATAAAAGGGTTGACAGCGGCGTGTTGTGGGGGAAAGGACGCCATCGCGCTGGGTGGTGTCGAGATGTGTGCTATATCCACGAAAAGATCATCAAGGTGCCCCTTATGATGCCTTGCCGTCCGTTCTACCTTCATTTGCATTTCCTTCGAACATGGCGCCAAGGTTACTGACAGACCACGATGTCGAAGTAGCGTGAAGGATGACGAGCCAGGCAGCGATAATATTGACCAAATAATGCAATAGGTAGGCATGGGAAACGCCGTATATGGCGGCGCACAGCGCAGTGGTGAACAAGAGTATGCTCGTGACGTGTCGCAACCAGCTTGATATTTGCGGAACCATACGGCCAGTCGTCATGTTCTCGACCAAGAGAATAAAGGGCGTGATGGAGAGTACATTGTGGTGCGAGGAAAAGGGTGTAAGCCAGTGCACCGCCAAATTCCGCACCCACACGGCCAGAATGGGCAAATTGATGGGGAGAACCCACATCATCAACAGAAGAATCGAGTGTGTATAGTGGTAGTAGTTGACATTGGATGTGGAAGGCGTGATAGTACTCAAACGGAGTGCTCTGACAGATGTGAAGAGCTGTACCAGACAAGCAACGAGATAGGCGAACTGGTACGGAATAAATGTTGCCACCAATAAAAGAAGAATTGCGGTTGAAATCATGCGTCGTCGAGGTGTGGATGGCGCAAAGATCGGAGAGGCTGAGCTAGCGCTGCCATTGGCACTGTCGGTGCTCCCACGGCGTCGAAACAGGACAAAGACAAGGCTGAAAAGCTGCGTGAGAAGCAGAATGACGTAGTGCAGGGCTGTGCAGACTCCTATACAGACAACGCCAATCAAGGGGACCATAAAAGTGAAGAATGGATCGTCGGTACCGATCAAAAGATCATTGCGATGAAAATCGATAGCCGATACTGTGTCAGCCAAGGGGCAGCCGCGTCTGCTGGTATCGACCTGCGGCGCTACGCCAATGGATGTTGCCAGGAGTGTCAGTGAGAGAAGTAATAGCGGGATTGATTGGCGGAGCGAAAGGTCAAGACTCTCCGAGAAGGAAATAAAAACGCCAGTCTCGTCATAGACGCGAAACTGCTTCCGAAGAACCAAGGTAACGATAAGAAGCGGAAATGCCGCAAAAACTGTCCGGTAGCGCATGTACAGTTTGCCCAAGCTGCCCAATATATCAAAAGTAATGGTGACTTTGATTGGAGCCTTGCATGTCGGATCTGAGAAGAATTCCAAGACGACACCCTTGTTTGCTTTATGAGCCATAGTCGGTGGCATGTATGGTGCTGCGCCATGCAGACTGATGCCGATTTGCGATACATTCACAAAGTAACGCGATTCGTGTGGACTTTGCAGAGATTGGCGCAGCATTGGCGCAAAAAGAGCACCATCCTGAGCACAGGGTTCCGAGTCCAGTCGGAGTTGATAGGCCAAAAGACTAGACTCAATGGCGGGAATCTTGGCTTCCACAACGGTTGACCGCGTTGGTGGTAGGGTGAATGACAAACCAAGGGTGAGCAATTTGCCAAGGACAATGTTATGCTCTTGTTCGAAATCCAGCACGTCACTAAACTCGGCAACAACGAAATTGTCAATTGGCGATTCTGCCTTATCAATGATGGCGACGAAATGATAGTCTGAAAGATGTTCAGAGTTGTACCTCAAGTGAGAGAAAGGAACTAGTTCAGGTTCGCCGTCGCGGTAAAATGGGTTGACGGTGTGCTTGGTTGAAGCTGGTAGAACAGCCACATCACCAGCTGCGTTCTTGCAGGCGAGTTTCATGCTCACTTTGCTGTTTTGAGAAAAGTCCATTGTCGCGATGAAAGCAACACTGGCAGCAGGTGAAGTTAGTACGTTACAAAATAGCACCTCGAGCGGACCAGATTCCCCAACATCGCTGAGTGGGCTGTTGGAGAGCACTGAGAATCGTTTGCTGGCGGAGTCGGTTGGTGGTGGGATGGGCAACAAGTGTACTTGAGGGCTCGAAGAGTTGCCAAGTTGCCTGAGAACTAGACGCTGGCCTACTGCCACAAGATCCTGGGTACTCTCGTCGATCACGAGCAAGGTAGTGGCTTGGCCCTGGTTGATAGTCTTTTGCGCGTTGGGCTCTAATCCGGTCAAAAATCGTTTCCTGAAGGTAGTCATTCTCTCAGCTCTAGGCTTGGTCTGACTAGCCCGGTGGACATCAACAACCTCAAACAGAGCCTGGCTGACGACTCTGCGGAATTGATCGCACCACATGATAGCTTGATGGTCAGCACTCGTCCATACTGTTGGCACACCCGTAGTGTAGACAGTGAAGCCATGAGTCTCTGGCACGAGGGAGTCAATATCAGCGTAATCGGAAGGGACAACAGTATCAAGACTGCCGCCGGCAATCGAAATCAACGTGACATGCCAAAGAGGGTTGCTGCTCGCCCACTTCTGGGTGTAGGCTCTCCTCCAATACTCGTTTATCTCATTGTAGATTTGAATAATTTGGCCATCGAAAGTGACTGGCGGACGGGCATGTGGCGCAGACATTGTAATGATGGTGTTGATCGAGTTGGCCTGGTAGTTTGGCTGCACAAGCATGCTGCGAGCAACGACACCGCCCATTGAATGACCAATTATGATGACGGATGTAGGATCAGGCAAGTCGGAGTCGCGGAAAACCTTGTTGGGGTCCGAATATAATGAGAGAATGTACCGGATAGCTTCGTTGAGATATTCGGCTTGGTCCAGCAACGTCTGGCCGTGGAAGGCGGTAATGTCTTCGTTGAAATCGACAGTGAAAAAGTCGAGATTGCGGACGCCAGAGTTAAGCGAGCTTCCGTCGTGCTGAAGACGTTCATAGAAATAACTGGCTGCCTCGGCTGCAATCGGACGGACTTGCTTGTAGCTGCCAGCGTTGCCAGGTATAAAGAGAACCGGAACTCCGCGTAGCTACATGGCAGAGAGATTAGCGGCGGAGGAGCGCTTGAGCTCACGGTTGAACGCACCTTGACTTCGTCATCGAGCCCCTGCTCTCGATAGAGATGAAGAGAGTATTTAGTCGCAAAACGGGTGTGCTCGGTGTCGAATTCACGGAAGTGGGTATATGATGGGCGCATGTATGACATGCGGCAGCCCTTTGCGTCTTGCTGCCGCGAGACCAAGGAGTGAACAATGCCACCAAGGAGAAGCAGACCAAGCGCGGCGGTAGCAAGGGCGAAGAAGGATATTGACCAAGTGCCAAAGTGAGGGCCACGGCTTCGGTTGCGAGCAGGCGGACTTTGTTTAGGATGGCTCATTCCCGATGACGTCGCGGGCAAAGTTGGCGACTGTGAGAGAGGGGGAGAGGGTGCCACGGGCTTTGCGGAAGCAGGGCCATTGCCATTGACGGAGACAGAATGGCTCCAATCGAGATTGCTGGGCCGACGGTCTATCCTTGTCGAGAGAGGACGAGACTTGAGCCCGGAGGGCCGGCTGTCGACCTCGGCGGCGGGAGCATCGGGATCAAGGGAAGGCGATTCGTCACCGTCGTCGGTCGATCCAGACGAGTGTCTCGTCATGGGGAAAGCTCGAGGACTCCCCGAAGAAAGAGGCGAGAAGGAAAGAGAAAGAGCGTCGCAGGCCACAGTCGAAAGGCGGAGCGGCGCAGTCGCAGTGAGAGCAACGGCGTAGGCGAAGCCGAGCTTTTGGCAGAAGCGGCAGAAGCAGACGGCAGGGGCAGAAGCAACAAGCCTAAAGCCGAGACGGAGATGGCTTGTATCAGAAGCACAAGTCGTCGCACGAGCGAAGGCGACACATGCCGTCACAGTCTTTAGTCCAGCCGGAGGTTGAGGGCACGGCAGAGCGAAGGGGGGGGGCGGAACTGAAGGAGCGGCAAAATGGGAAATTGGCTCTTTGATACCATCGCTGGACTATCGCGATGGACCCACTGACGTGGCGGCCAAAAGCGGCTAGACAATGTTGTGCGGGAAGAAGGCGATGATTGGATGCGGCGAGTTTCAGGGGCAAAAGAAGGTGGTGGTTGGGTGGATAGGAATCTCACGGGGGGTGGCTGGGGCAATAACAGCCCGAGACGTTATTCTCACCCGTTGTGCCCGGCAGGCAGCCAAGCTGGCGACCTGGGGCAATCCACAGGGCGCCGCTTTGCATGGCAGCTTAGGTAGTGAGCTACAGGGGACTACAGCGGATTACAGAGCACTCTGGATGGGCTGCACTGGTTGCGGCTCTTATTTACCTAGGTACCTACCTACCTAACCCAACGGGAACCTCTGCCTGTCCCTGAGGCGCAGCAGCACAATCATTTTCGGTTCGCAAAGAAAGCGAAATGTTCGGTCCTGGGCACCTTGTCCCGGAAACATGCCCTTACTATGTATACGTACACCTGTGTTTGGCCGTCTACAATACAGCCGCCCGGGCTACATTACACAGCCAAAGGACATGAGCAAAAGAACGAACCGAGTGTTGGATGGTTGCAGATGAAGCGTTGCTATCATCGCCTTGATTCAGCCTCATCGACTCTGGTAAACTGTGACCTGTGACGTTCTGCGTCCTGATGTTTACAACGCACTGACCGGCTTTCCCAAAACGGAAATGGAATAATTGCGCGGGCTTTCTCACTAATTACCGACCCTTGCACCCGGTTTTCCCCTCACTTTAATGTCGGGCGACAAGAGAGCTCAACTTTGCAGCTGTCCTGAATAGCCTCGTCTAAGCTGTTTCAGATTGAAGAATCCTGTCTACAGTGCGAACCTCGATAGACTCGATCTGCAAGACTATTTTCTCACAGTCTCGCAGATGTGACTGCCTATTGTCGGGAGAGCGGACACCGTTTGCAGCCGTTGGCAAAGCTGCTGAGTAATGCCCCTCAATCAACGCGCTTACCTGCATGCTACCAACCACTGTACCTAGGTACCTATTTACTTCGTAGACGCGTTCCAGCGCGTTCATCCACTGACATTTGGCTTGCACGAATGCAGCCATCACCCAGCTAGCCCGTCCAACAACTACCTCTTTTGCACACGAGGCCTGTCATTACTGTAATCAGACCTTGGACTCGATCATGGCCGCTCCGCGTGATAGTCATAACCCCACCTCGATGCCGTAACCTGCACCGCGTCAGCTCCTGCGACGACCTGGTTCTGGCACATTCAATCATGGCCACTATCAAGCAAATTGATGGTCGCAGTGTATGTCGACCACTCCATTGGCACTTCTCCACCAGCAGCTGACCTTTCTCAAGGTTCATCAGATTCAATCTGGTCAGGTCATTGTCGACTTGTGCTCCGTTGTAAAAGAGCTGGTCGAAAACAGCGTCGATGCTGGCGCTACTACCATTGGTATGCCTCCCCTCCGACCTCTATGAAAAGGGCCAGCACTGACCCTAATAGATGTCCGGTTTAAGGACCAGGGCCTCGATTCCATTGAGATTCAGGATAATGGCTCCGGCATTTCGCCAGCCAACTATGAATCTGTGGCGCTAAAGCACCACACCTCAAAACTGTCAACCTACTCGGATATTGCCAGTCTTCACACCTTTGGCTTCCGCGGAGAAGCGCTGGCGTCATTATGCGCTCTGTCCACAGTCACAGTAACGACTTGTCTCCCTCAAGACGCACCCAAAGGTACTAAGCTTACCTTTGAGTCATCCGGGAAGCTCAATTCGACTTCCATTATCGCGGCCCAAAAGGGGACAACTGTTGCCGTCGACAAGTTGTTTCATAACTTGCCAGTTCGTCGACGAGAACTAGAGCGCAACATCAAGAGAGAATGGCACAAGGTCATTGCGCTGCTCAACCAGTATGCTTGCATTCTGACGCAGGTCAAGTTTTCAGTCTCCCAGCAGCCGACCAAGGGCAAGCGGATACTTTTGTTTTCTACCAAGGGAAATATGACGACCAAAGATAACATCATTAATATTTTTGGTGCCAAGACAATGACAGCCCTAGTAGCGTTGGATCTGAAACTGGAAATCCAATCCACTGCCTCTGCTCTGAGCATGACCACCGCCGAGGCTGATGCATCCAAAGATGTCCGCGTCCTTGGCCATGTTTCCCGTCCTGTTCACGGCGAAGGCAGACAGACGCCTGACAGGCAAATGTTCTTCGTCAATGGGCGGCCTTGTGGGCTTCCCCAGTTTGCCAAGACCTTCAATGAAGTCTACAAGTCTTACAATTATTCTCAATCGCCCTTCATATTCGCAGACATTCGATTGGATACAAACATGTACGACGTCAATGTGAGCCCAGATAAACGGAGCATCCTATTACACGACCAAAACCACTTGTTGGAGAGCCTACACTCTGCCCTTGTTGAGCTATTCGACCAACACGACTACACAGTACCAGTTGCGCAAGCATTTTCTACTCTCAAAAGGTCCGCCTCAAAATCTACAGTTGCAAACCCTTCTCCAGCGCATAGGCCAATTTCTAGACAACAAATACAGTCTGAGGAGTCGGAGGAGTCGGAGGAGTCGGATGTGTCAGCTGCAGATGATGACTCCCAACTCTCTGATGAGCATGGGGAAACAACCTCAGCCGCCAAAAAACCCGCCCCTATGACGCGCAGCACTGGAGCGCAGAGTTTGATAAGCCGCTGTGTCTCTAATACGGCGAGCTCACCCGCGGCAAAGTTACAGGTCGCGACTCCGCAAACTAGCATCAGTGCTCGATTTGGTAGACAGAGTGACGAGGTGTCAAATAGTGCCAAGGCTATTCGGGTGCGCGATTTCAATGAACGACTTGCAGAACACGCACCCAGTGGACCGGCGACAACTTTGCTGCCGGGCCAAGATGGCATTATGGGACAAGTACGATCTGCTTCTCCGGAAGCCTCTCCAGAGCCCCCGATACCTGCGACACAGCCTATGAGACTAGTGGATGATACGCCACGAACGAGGACTTCGCGAAGCCTGAAACGGGCCATTACGGAAACAATCTCAGTGACCATCGGTGCTTCACCACAACGGAATATCATCATTTCCCCATCGAAGAGGCGAAAGACGGAAAGCATCGCAAGTGAAGATGACGACGACGGCGACGAGGCTATGCTGTCTGATGACCAAGATACTCACCAAAACGCGTCGGCAAAACGACAAGTCGGAGATTTGTTACAATCACAACGCAGTGAGGAAGAGGAAGTAAACTCTGATTCTGAGCCAGAACCAAGAGTCACCGCCCAGCTGGAACTTACAGAAGAAGAGGATGAGGAACTACAAGTATCAGAGCAAGAGAGTGAGATAGCCATGCCGTCTGACGCTGATATTGAGAGCTTAGATGGGCATCTTGACACGGCAGAGGCTGCCAATAACGATGAAGACGTCGATGATGCTCCAGAAAAGGAGACATCGGTGACAGAGTTGAAACGAAATGACCTGCTTCAGCCAACTGCTCGTCGGAAGGACAGCACCGTAAGCTTATTACAACAACTTGACATAGGTCCGGAGCTCCTCCGTGCCCATACCGACAGCTACAAGAACAACGCCCTGAGAATATCGACCACGAATGCAAACATGGATTCAGTAGAAGACATCAGTGCCGCAGATGCCGAGTCAAGGCTGCAACTCATCATCTCGAAAGAAGACTTTGGCAAGATGCGCGTTGCCGGACAGTTCAACATGGGATTCATCATTGCTGTTCGTCCGCGCGCTTCCAACTCCAAATCACCAAGTAATGGGAGTGACTCTAGCAATGACGAGCTATTAATTATCGACCAGCATGCATCGGACGAAAAGTACAACTTTGAGAGACTACAGAGCTCTACTGTTGTGCAATCACAGCGGTTGGTACATCCAAAAACGCTAGAGCTGACTGCGCTGGAAGAGGAGATTGTCATGGAGAACCTCCCAGCAATCGAAGCCAACGGCTTCAAAATCCTCGTCGACACATCCGGAGACTCCCCCGTTGGCAGCCGCTGCATGCTAACGGCACTACCGCTCAGCCGCGAGACGGCCTTTAGCTTGGAAGATCTCGAAGAGCTCATCGCTATCCTCGGTGACGCGCCAAGCGGCGGCGGCGGCGGCGGCATCGGAGGCAATACACAGATTCCACGGCCTACCAAAGTTCGCAAGATGTTTGCCATGCGGGCCTGCCGCAGCAGCGTCATGATTGGCAAGGCGCTGACAACGAGCCAAATGTACGGGCTGGTGCGTCATATGGGCGAGCTCGACAAGCCTTGGAACTGCCCTCACGGCCGGCCCACGATGCGACACTTGTGCAGGCTACAGGCGTGGGATGATCACGGCTGGAAGGGCGATACGGTGCTGAGCTCGATTGCGCGGTGGCGGGCATTTGCGCAAGAGGGAGAGTGAAGTCAAGTGATGTATGAAACTTGGAAAAAGGAAAGCCGAAACATTGTATACATATCTATTCACACGGTGCGCAGCTACGGTGTGTTTATCGAAATTTAAACTGAGATTTTTATTCAAGAGACCAATATGCCACAAAATCTCTTTCAACTATATAAAATGGCCGTCTTTGGCCCAAATCCAGCGAATGCACCAACTGAAACAAAAAAAAAAACAATAAAACAATAAATCATAATGCGCCGTGAAACAATTAAGCATTTCCGTAACCCATAGCCATATCCACATTTGTTTTGTCCTGCAAAGACACTCGGCCGAATCTCGTCATCATTTCGTTCCGTTTCAACCAAAGTTCCCACGAGATTTGCCCCAGTTTCCTCGAACCACAAGTCCCAAGCACATCCATTTCTGTTTAATCAGTTAATCAAAAAGCAAACACGCGAAATGTGTTCTGTTTGGCGGCATCAAGTGGCGTAGCCAATAGTAAATCGGCCGCCCGCAAGACCCTCCTCAGCCACCTTGCCGCTCACGCGACGACGCTCAGCTGCCATGGCCTGGGCATGATAGTCGTTACCCGATGAAATCTTTCTTGTGTCGCCGATCATGACGGGCGGTGTGGCGGAGCGCAGCTCACCATACGAGCGCGAGTAAAAGTCACCGCCAGTGAGGGCAGGCGGCGGGCGCAGGTCTGGCTTATGGGTCCAAGGCGAGCGGTCCGTCAGCCCGCGGGCGGCCTGGTTCAGGCGCTCGTTGCTGCTAATCTCGGACAGCGCGCTCTTGGCCGAGAGCCTGGAGGCGGTCCATGGGGTTGTAGGGCGGGACGACGACGACGAATCGCCGTGCGTGGGAGGGCGAGGGGGCGTCGAGGGGCAGTCGCTGGCCATGGGGTGCGAGCCAAGAGGGTTGGGATGCTGGCCACCGTCGATTCCTCGGTGGGCGCTGTTGGCATCAACATTCTCATTGTCACCATAATCGGATCCAGAGTCGTCAGCGTCGGCATTGTACCGCTGCTCCAGAGCAGAGTAAGACTGAGAGCTACGGGCCTGGCGGGAGGTGTTGGCGGCAGCCATCTCGCGTTGGCGGTAGTTGGTGCGGGAGATGAGTGAGTCAGTTGGCATCCATGTCTCGGTAAACTTGGGCGCGCGGGTGTTGTTGACATCGGGGCCGTAAGCGACAAACTCTGGCCTGGCTGGGCTGGCGTCACCCAGCGCGAGTTCCGAGTAGGTCCCTCTAGAAGTGCGCGGAGCAGACATGCGGCTGCTGACAATGGATGCGGCGGAGCGAGACGCCCTATGGCTGGACGGGATCTGGTACTGTCTCTGAGGGAGGTTGAGCTTAGGCTCGCTGTTGACCAGGGTATCCTCTGACTGCGTGCGGGTGTGCATAAAGGGTACTGTGCGGGGGTAAGAAAAGCTTTCCCACGAGGCTTCGGACCTGTGCTTGGCGCTCTGAGCCGTAGACAACCTCTTCTCGTTGTCAGAGCTATAGGTTGTCACTGATGACTTGTTTCGCTTGTGGAACGAGGGGCGGGCCGTCAGGTTGGATTCCAACGGGTTCATATCCGGTGGCATATCACTGATTCGCTGAAAGGTAATGGCAAGCCAGACAGACGTCAGAAACGAAGCGAGGTGCAAGCTAGCAGCGCCGATGATGGTGTAATACACGGCCGGGACAAAGTAGTCGACCAGACCCTGGTCCTTGAGTAGCGTCGTCCAAGTAGCGGAATCGCGGTTTGTCATAAAGGCCCCATATGCGTAGAAAGAAGCAACTGTGATATCAAAGATGCCCGCAAAGAGTTGGTATGCCGCTGTGGATCCGGGGGTTCTATACGTCGCCGAGCGAGAGTGATGGACGATTCCGTAAAGACAGTGAAGGGCGGTGATGCCAGACTGTACTGTGGTCAGAACCTGCTGGGTAGGCGCAATTGATGACAAGCTTTAATGACTTACGACAACGCGCATAATCCAGGCGAGGATAGCACTAACATGGCTGAGCAAAATCATGAGAATAAAGATGCCGAGAGCGCCATTGAACTCGAGCACGCGGCAAAAAAGCTGCCATCCGCGAACCCATTTAATAGCCTTCTCAGTCTTTTTACCCAATTGCCTGTACTCGGATCGCTGCTGCAAAGCTTCGTGGGTACTATTCTACATGTTAGCTTCTCAACATAAACAGCACCTCTTCGGTAGTATCAAATCATCCGGACAGGCGTACTCGGGATGTTGATTAAAGGAGACCAGCGGCCCAACTTGAGGCAGACGTCTCGGTTTCGGCGCCCAGCTGGCGCGCGTAATGGCTTTGGGATCGAATGTCGAGGCCGGCAGGCGCGAATCCTCGCTGGCTGTCGCCGAGTACATGTAAGGCTGGCCCGGCGCCATTGTGCAAAAGATCAAGTTAAAGGAGCCTTTTTTTTGGCCAACTGTCTCAATTGATTTTCTGGAATGCTCGAGGCCTGCACACTTTGTAGTCTCCGGGGGAGAAGAGGGTTGCGGGTGAGAAACAGTTGGTGTAGGAATGTTTGCTGAATAAAGAAGTAGCTGGAATGGAACAACTCTCCGAGGGTGGGTAGGACTGGCCGCGGTGGGGGGTTTATCGCAGACAGCAGAACAAATGCACTTCTTGCCAGCCACTCAAATGGGCCAGTTATTACAATAATCCGTGTCAAGGCGTCATACCCAGTAAGTAGTGCAACCGTTGTTCTATCATGCCATGGTTGGAGGACGGGTGGTTGTCATGGTGGACGTTTCCACAGCAACGACAGCCTTCGGAGCTTCAGTGGGGGGGTCTGGGCCTCCTTCTACGGAGCAGTGTCGGTGATCTCTGGGTACGAACCGCTTAAAATTGCCAAGCCGAGATTTATTAATACTCATTATTTATTTGACGGGAACGATATTGTACAAACAGCCTAGTCAGTATGTCCCCCGCATCGCGTAATAGCTCGGCTTGGTCTGGCTGTCAATCATTGTCCTCACCAGACGCCCATTGCAGATATTTCTTGCTTTGCCCACTCATAGTTGTCTTGAAAATCAAAAGCTCGCAGCAGATGCGCGATGACTATCTGGGGTGTCTTGCTCGTCCTGCTGCCATTTTGCACGGCACATTCTTCATCAGATTTGGAAGTTGAGTGATACCGACATTGACAAAGGTCGGTAATATAGACGTAATGTGATATATGTCATCTGCCTCTACTACAATCGTAAAACTGTCGGGGAGTGCAAATTGAGCATGTTGAAATCATCGAGCAAGCGGGTAAAGGTTCTGGAAGTCGGGTTAAATGTCTTGCTTTGCTTTACATGACGTGGTTCAATTACATACATGTAACCGTCCACGGAGCCCTTGCAGGCTTCGTCCCTTGTCTTCCACATGCAATCCTCAATGGCGCTGGACCTCAAGAAATGGCATTGAGAAACAAAATCAAATACCAAGGCAAGGATTGGATCTATTGCGGATTTTGAAAATTGAATCTGGTTGCTCATCCCAAGGGATAGTCTTTCTAGTTGACTGGCCATCTGTGCTCCGTTGTCGGTGCTGTGAGCCGCAGCTGTGCACAGCTTAAACTGATCAATGTGCCACCGCACGTACAATGCAGCGAGTACGCACAACACCCATAGTCATTGTCTAGAGAGAAATTCTACCACAATTCGAGATGATTTAAAAAAGACAATTTCATGATTGAACATTTCATGTTTTATTTCAACAAGACCGGCAAGTGCACGACATGTCCTCCGCAGCGGTGTCCTCAATGACAGCCTTGCAGCTTACCTAATGCGCTAAACCGCCTATTGCTCCAGGGAACCTCGCTTGAATCCCGGGTGCAAAACAGTCACAATTCGCTGTGGTAGAAATCAAAAGCCCGGTTTCACAGCCCCAATCATGAAGCTTGAGATTATAAGATCATCATGATCAACTGCAAATCAAATGTGGCGCCCTGTGTGCCTTGGCTACCGAACCTTCGCGTTGCCGCGACACGTTTCTAGCCTGGCACCACGGCAGGCGGACGCTCCCTTTCGGCTCGCGGTGGTAGGATCCGGTCCGGCTGGATTTTATACAGCTTACCGCGTCATGAACAGGGTCCCAAACGTCAAAGTCGACATGTATGAAGCTTTGCCCGTACCATTCGGCCTGGTGCGCCACGGCGTTGCCCCGGACCATCCGGAAGTCAAAGTGAGTCTTGCCCACCAAATGTTCATTGAATAGCACACTTATGCGCATGTGCCAGAACTGTCAAGATAAGTTTGAAGAAATTGCCTCGTCCTCAAACTTTAGATTCCTCGGCAATGTCGCCGTAGGGTCAACTTCAGAATCATCCTCGTCAGACCAATGCCGCATTGAGCTGCAGCAGCTACTGCGCAATTACGACTCCGTTCTCCTCGCCTATGGCGCTTCCGAGGACAAGAAGCTTGGTATTCCCGGCGAATCTACTCTCCAAGGCATCTACTCTGCCAGACAGTTTGTTGGGTGGTACAACGGTCTGCCAGACTGTGCTGGTCTAGAGCCCGATCTCAGTGGCGACGAAGCTGTCGTCATCGGTCAAGGCAATGTTGCACTTGATGTAGCGCGCATGCTGCTAGAAGATGTCGACGTGCTTCGAACAACCGACATTACGCAGCATGCCCTGGAACAGCTTGCGCAAAGCAAGATTAAGAAAGTTCGTGTTGTTGGACGACGCGGCCCTATGCAGGCATGTACACGCAATTTTCTACCAAGTGCTTTCCAAGCTAACACATCTCTCAGGCAGCATTCACAATCAAAGAACTGCGTGAGCTGATGAAGCTACCAAAAGTCGCCTTTCATCCCATCAACAGGGCACTTTTGCCACAAGACCTCAAGTCGCTACCCCGAGCTCAAAGGCGGCTGATGGAGGTTCTCGTCAAGGGCACCACTACAAGCCCTAGTGATACATCCTCTTCATGGTCACTTGATAGCTGTCTATCCCCAAAGCACTTTTTGGCTCGCGAGCAAGATGCAACTAGAGTTGCTAGCACCGAATTCGACGTCACGCATCTCGAGTCTGCATTCGATCCCAAATCCCGCGTAACACCAACTGGCGAGACAACTCTACTGCCCTCGGATGTAGTTTTTCGCTCCGTTGGCTACAAATCTACGGCATTGAACGGCTTTGCCGAGGCAGGGATCCAGTTTGATGTCCGTCGCGGCGTGGTTGACAACGATGGCTTCGGGCGTGTCACACGTCTCGTCTCAAACAGCAACGATGAACCGGCTACGCAGCAGGTCTCTGGCCTCTACTGCGCTGGCTGGGTCAAGCTTGGACCGACCGGTGTCATTGCATCCACCATGAATGACGCATTTGCCACTGGCGACGCGATTGCAGATGATTGGCTCAGTGGTGTAGCTTTTCTACAATCCGCGAGTACAGCTGCTGGCTGGGACGGCATTCGCGGCGCGGCCGGTACTGTCAACGCGGACAAGGCCATTGACTGGAACGACTGGCGGCAAATAGACAAGGTCGAAAAGGAAAAGGGTAGCGCCAGGGGCAAGACGAGAGAAAAGTTCACAAGCACGACGCAAATGCTGTCTGTCATCAGCTGAACAAGAAGAGTATGTATTGTATCATAAAACGCTTTTACATTGCTGTATTATATAAATCTACGAGCTCTTCACTTTCTCGGTAAGTTCGGGCACCTTTTCAAACAAATCTCCCACAAGACCGACATCGGCAACCTGGAAAATGGGGGCATCTGCATCCTTGTTGATGGCGGCGATGACCTTGCTGTCCTTCATGCCCGCCAAATGTTGGATAGCACCGGAGATGCCGACAGCCAGGTACATCTCGGGAGCAACGACCTTGCCAGTCTGGCCGACCTGAAGACTGTTGTCGGCGTAGCCGCTGTCGACAGCAGCGCGCGAAGCACCTACGGCAGCGCCGAGAGCGTCGGCGAGAGGCAGCATAATCTTGTCAAACTCCTCCTTGGACTTGAGACCGCGACCGCCAGAAACCACCTTGCTAGCAGTAGCAAGATCTGGGCGATCCGACTTGGCGAGGTCCTCCGACACCCATTCGGCGGTAGCTTCGGCCTTGGGGTCAGCACCCTCCTCGATAGCAGCAGAGCCGGAGCCGGGGACAGCAGCGGCAAAAGCAGTCCCTCGAACAGTCAGGACCTTGATGGCATCGGAGGACTCGACGGTGGCAATGGCGTTGCCGGCGTAGATAGGTCGGACAAAAGTCTTTTCATCTTGGATAGTAGTGACGTCGGAAATCTGTTGCGAGTCCAACAACGCAGAAACGCGGGGCAAAACACTCTTGGCGAAAGCAGAGTTGGCAGCAATGACGTGCGTGTAGCCTCCCTTTTTTATATTTTCGACGAGCAGAGGAGCGTAGTTCTCGGGGAGACCCTGCGATTAACGGGCTGTTAGCTTTCCCTAACCCGGAAATATCCGCGGATAAAAAGAGTGTACCTTTTCGTAGGCGGCATTGTTCACCGTCAGAATCTTCTCGATGCCATCAACCTTGGCGGCCTGCTCGGCAGCACTCTTGACACTGGCGCCGGCCAAGAATCCGTGGACGCTGCCGCCAATGGCCTTGGCTGCGGTCACGGCGCTCAAAGAACCAGCAGTGAGCTGGCCCTCGCGCTGCTCCAGAATCGCAAGAGCAGAGAGCAGACGCTGGTGGGCATAGGCATTGAGCGAAACTCGGCCAATCGCTGCCGTGGCAGGCCTGGCGACAGCTCGTCGGGCGGCGGAAAACATTGTGAAGGGCTCGTGGTTGGGTTTGTCTTGGGGATGTAGCGGCGGCGTCACCCCAGCGCTGTCTAAGTTGAAAGGCCGCCCGGCTGGCAGCGGGCCGAGCTTGAGCGTGCAAACACCGCGACCGGCGGAGAGAACGGCGAGTCACGTGCATATGTACAAGGTGCATGTAACAAGTCCTGACTCTTTCAGCCAAACAAGCGGGCACACGTTCACGTGACGACCGCCCATGCACAAACCACGTGACAACATCTCCCCTTGCTTTGCAGTCAGTGTCTGCCAGCTGTATGGTTGTCGCCATGCACCACGATCTTGTCGCGCCAAAATTTCCCATCACGTCGCGACGCTAAGCAGCGCAACTTATCGGTTTAAACGCACCAATCGCGATCTCAGTCTGTAATTCGCATCGCTGCTGTGCTTTCCTGCCCGTATTGGTGATTTTCCCGATAGGCTTGACGATACGCGACGCGACTGTCCCTGCTTGTTCGCTTCAACCCGACCCGCAACAGCAGCTTCCTTGCGACAGCCGCTTCATCTCACAACCATGGAAGGCGCCGCGGCGTTTGGATCGCCCAACAACGGGGAATCCCCCAATCGCAACCCTATCCCTGCTCAGTCTCCTTTGGAAGGAGAGAACTCTGCAGGTGCTGGTCAAGGTACCGTGCTCCCCGGTCCTTTGGTCCTTCCACATCAAGCTGACGCAATACATCTAGGAGACGTGCAAATGTCAGAAACCGGCGTTCAAGAAGCTGCCATTAAGCAGGACACGTCCACGCCCAACCCTGCCAGTGCATCTGAGAATCCGCTCGATGCGCCTGCAGCCCCAACCACCACCACCACCACCGCGCAACCCGACGAAGAGATGGGCGACGCGCCAACAGAGGCCAAGGAGGGTGTTGATGCGAGTGGAGTTGCTGCCGAGACTGAAGTACAAGAGACCAAGTCGAAGGAGACTCTCGAGTCAGCAGCTCGCGATCACCTCATTTCGCAGGCCCACGCCATCGTTCTCCCTAGCTACTCGACTTGGTTCGACATGAACGCCATCCACGAGATTGAGCGCAAGGCTATGGCCGAATTCTTCAACAACCGCAACCGAAGCAAAACCCCGGCTGTGTATAAAGATTATCGTGACTTCATGGTCAACACATACCGGCTGAACCCTGTCGAATATCTCACTGTCACAGCCTGCCGTAGAAACTTGGCAGGTGATGTTTGCGCCATTATGCGCGTGCATGCTTTTCTGGAGCAGTGGGGTTTAATCAACTATCAGGTAAAGCCTAAAGCTTATAGAATAGTATAACACAGATTACTGACTGAAACATTAGGTCGATGCCGAGCAGCGCCCATCCCCTGTTGGCCCGCCCTTCACTGGCCACTTCAAGATCATCTGCGACACGCCTCGCGGTCTGCAGCCCTGGCAGCCTTCTGCTGACCCTATTGTCCTTGAGGGCAAGAAAAATGCCGACACTGAGAGTAAGGCCAACGCGGCGGCACCCACCAAGGGCGACCTCAACCTCGAGATTGGACGCAACATTTACGAAGCCAACGCCAAGGGAGCGACAGTCAGCAAGACTGAAACCGGTGCCAATGGCGAATCTGCTGCCACAAACGGTGTAGCCGGCTCGCCCGAACTCACCAAGACACCGATCGCCAAAATTAACTGCCACCAGTGTGGCAACGATTGCACTCGCGTCTACTACCACAGCAACCAGACGGACGCCAGCACAAAAGGCAAATTTGATCTGTGCCCAAGCTGCTTCACTGAGGGCCGACTACCGGCCAACCACACGGCCAGCATGTATGCCAAGGTGGAGAACCCTACCTACACTGCAACGATCGATCGTGATGCGCCCTGGACTGATGCCGAGATTCTGAGACTTCTGGAAGGACTCGAGCGTTTTGACGATGACTGGGGCGAGATTGCCGAACACGTTGGCACCCGCACACGAGAGGAGTGCGTGCTGCAATTCCTACAGCTGGACATTGAGGAGAAGTACCTAGACGCGGAAACGCACATCAATGCGCCGGCCGGTCTCTCTCTGCTGGGTACCCAAGGTGGTCAGCTGCCTTTTAGCCAAGTAGACAACCCTGTCATGTCAGTTGTCGGCTTCCTTGCCAGCCTTGCTGATCCCGCCAGCACGGCTGCTGCGGCCAACAAGTCGGCCGAGGCTCTGAAACGGAACCTGCGCAAACAGCTGGATGGCAGCAAGACTGCAACCAACGGTGGCAGTGCCGAGGCTGCAGATGACAAGGAAAAGAGCGACTCTATGGATTTGGACGTGCGCAAGGAGGAGCCCGGTTCCAAGCTGTCAAAGGGCGCTGAGTTGGCATCTATCCCGCTGGCTTCCATGGGAGCGCGTGCGGCGGCGTTTGCCTCTCACGAGGAGCGCGAGATGACACGTCTCGTCTCTGCAGCGACGAATGTCATGCTGCAGAAGCTTGAGCTCAAGCTCAAGTACTTTGGCGAGCTGGAGGCTGTGCTTCGAGAAGAGCGCCGAGAACTCGAGCGGGGCCGTCAACAACTGTTTTTGGACCGTCTCGCCTTCCGCAAGCGTGTGCGGGAGGTGCAGAACGGATTGCAGGCAGCGGCGGAAGCCGGAGGCGAACAAGCTGTACGCCAGGCGCAAGAGGCGATGCGGGACGGCGAGTCGCTTGGATTCCAAGCTGTGGCGGCCGGAGCCGGGTTGCAGGCGCCGAGTGGGGAGGGTGTAGTCAAGTCATTCGAGGTGTAATAGTTGTGACAAAAAGAATAATACGAAGGACTGGCGTCTGGATTTGTAGAGATTGGAGAGGAAGGGAGCGGCTTTTGCTGGGAAGATGGTCGATTTCAAAGGGAAGCCTGGTGCCAATTTTGGACAGCGACAGGAAACTGCTGCCGTTGTGAAGAAGGAAAGAAATGGCGGAGAATGTGCCATGCGGTCGCGTAAGCTTGTTTCTTTACATGTAGTAGTACTGGTACTGGAGTTTTCTGGGCTCAATGACATGAAATTCAATTTTGCTAGAAGATGCTAGGTCGAATGTTGTCGTGTGTGAATGATGTGGACAGGAGATGAGAGGCAAGCTAGTTGGAAGGTGTTGGGCGCAAGACTGTGAATGTGTTGGGGGTGACGTTGTGTGAGTAGATGGTTACGATGGCGAGCTATTAATTACTTGGTAGATGCCGGAAAAGACATGACAGTAGAGGGCTGACCGGAGAGATGGGGGCAAATGGCAAAAGTCCCTACGTGGTAGTGATGGAGTCGAGGATGGAGATGAGGCAGTACAGTGCTTGAGCATGGAGGCAAAGGGTGATGAACGGGCTCGTCGGTTGGCTGTACTTGACACGAGGTAAAGGTATTGTCGAAAGAAGGATCGGGAGAGGATAATATTGTGAAAATGACTTGTCTTGGCCCAGGAGGTGTTGATGTCGGCTGAGTGGTGAGTGGTGATGGTGGGTGCGTGGGTGGTCAATGTGGTGTTCGGGCCAGAGGAAGTGGACTTTCAAGGGTTTGGTGCGGAGCACGCCGGTGGCCTACGGGGTCAGTTTACGGGGCAGTTCTGGGGGAACGATTGGGGCGTGTTGAGGTTGTAGAGCAAGTCACAGTGGCAGCGCCGCAGCAGTGGGTTGGCCAGTTGGCAGTTGGCCGGGTCAGGTACAACAGGACCTCCGCGGACCGTTGCTGACACAGTGCACCCCAAGTACCCTGACGCTCGGAACCGCAATTGACCTCGGCTGTCATGGAGCTGGCCGACGCAAAATAATGGGTCTCGCTGGCAGCCACACTAAACACTGGTAATTATTACTGTACTTTCAGGCAGCTGGCAGGCAAAGGTAGGTCACTTCTACAGCGCAGCCCCGGCATGTGGCTCAAAAGCCCGAGTTTAAACTCTCCGTCACAGGCGATTTGCTCCAGGCACGAGATTCAAAGCCCTCCCACCCCCGAGCCAGGCCATCCACTCCTCTCTTCCTTTATTCTCTTCTTTCTATAAACACGTGAAAGCCATTGGCCATGTTGACCACCATTCGCGCTCAAGGATTGAGGAACAGCTTCCGCAGACTAACCACTACACCTACTGTGAGTACCGACATGGCATAACAATCTCTCTCCCCTCCGCCCCCAAAATCTGCGACTCTTCGGCTATTTGCGCCTCAAGTCGCTGCCTATCCAATCCAACCTGCACCCTCGTCTGTTTGATCTGCCTGCTTTTGTGCTTTGTACTGGATGCTGGCATTGCAGACGAGCATCAGCAGTAGCTCTCGCCATCACCATCCGTCGTCCCTCTAGTGCCAGCTGCTGATCGTGATACCGCGCACTCCCAACAGACTCTCACAATGGCCCGAGCAAAGCACTCTTCGCCGCAAGGTATGTTCTCATCGCCTCTGGCCTACCCAAAGCGCTCGACATGCTTACACTGACTCGCAGGCTACGTCGAGGACACCTCCAAGGGCGCCACCTTGCGATTCCAAGACTCGCTGCCCCGCCTTCCCGTCCCGACCCTCGAGGAGACCGCCGCTAGATACCTCAAGAGCTTGCGACCTCTGCTCACGCCCGCCGAGCTGAAAAACTCCGAGGCTGCTGTCCAAGAGTTTATCCAGCCCGGCGGTATCGGCAGCAAGCTTCAGGAAAAGCTCCAGGCCAAAGCCGCCGACCCCAAGACCAAGAACTGGATCTACGAGTGGTGGAATGATGCCGCCTACCTCAGCTACCGCGACCCCGTTGTCCCCTACGTCAGCTACTTTTACTCCCACCGCGACGACCGCAAGCGCCGTGATCCCGCCAAGCGCGCTGCCGCCATCAGCGCCGCCGTCCTCGAGTTCAAGAAGATGGTCGACCAGGGTTCCCTCGAGCCCGAGTACATGAAGAAGCTGCCCATCTGCATGGACAGCTACAAGTGGATGTTCAACTGCTCCCGCGTCGCCGCCAAGCCTGCCGACTACCCTCAAAAGTACTCTGCCGACGCCAACAAGCACATTGTCGTCATCCGCAAGAATCAGTTCTTCAAGGTCTTCCACGAGGTCAACGGCAAGCAGCTTAACCCCTCCGAGCTTGAGCAGCAGTTTCGCCGCGTCTACGAGACTGCGCAGTATGTTCCACCTGTCGGTGCTCTGACCTCGGAGAACCGCGACGTCTGGACCGATGCGCGCGCCGTTCTCCTCGACGCCAGTCCCAAGAACAAGGCTTGTCTCGAGGCCATTGAGGCATCCTCCTTTGTCGTTTGTCTCGATGACGCCTCTCCCGTCACCCTCGAGGAGCGTGCCCATGCCTACTGGCACGGTGACGGTGCCAACCGCTGGTACGACAAGCCTCTCCAGTTCATCATCAACGACAACGGTACCTCTGGTTTCATGGGTGAGCACTCCATGATGGACGGTACTCCTACTCACCGCCTTAATGACTACGTCGGCGACCTCATCTTCAACAACAAGCTCGATCTTTCCGAGGCTCCTATCCGCTCCGACCTTCCTGAACCCCAGGTTCTCCGCTTTGAGATTACCTCTGCCGTCCAGGCCGAAATTGACCGCGCCGTCACCGACTTCAAGCGCGTTATTGGCGAGCACCAGCTTGCCGTCCAAGCCTTCCAGGGATACGGCAAGGGTCTCATCAAGAAGTTCAAGTGCTCCCCCGACGCCTACGTCCAGATGCTCATCCAGTACGCCTACTTCAAGATGTACGGCAAGAACCGTCCTACCTACGAGTCGGCCGCCACCCGCCGCTTCCAGCTCGGCCGCACCGAGACCTGCCGCACCCTCTCCGAGGAGTCGTCCAACTGGTGCAAGTCCATGGCCGACGCCTCTGTCGACGACAAGACCAAGATTGAGCTTTTCCACAAGGCCATCAAGGGCCACCTCGAGTACATTACCGCCGCTTCCGACGGCAAGGGCGTCGACCGCCACCTTTTTGGTCTCAAGAAGCTCCTCGAGCCTGGCCAGGAGGTTCCTGCCATCTACAAGGACTCTGCGTTTGCCTACTCCAGCTCTTGGTACATTTCCTCTTCCCAGCTGAGCTCCGAGTACTTTAACGGATATGGATGGAGCCAGGTCATTGATGGTGGATTCGGCATCGCCTACATGATCAACGAGGACAGGTTAGTTTCTTCCCCCGCGCCATAACCTCAAAATCATGTGTGAATTATGGATACTGACTTTTGAGTAGCATCAACTTCAACATCGTCTCCAAGGGCCTCGGTAGCGACCGCATGAGCTTCTACCTCAACGAGGCTGCCTGCGAGATGCGTGACCTTCTCACCCCCACCCTCGAGGCCCCCAAGGCCAAGCTGTAAATTATATATACACAGCCGCCCGTTTTCCGTATTTGGGCCCTGTTCTTTTTTCTCTTCAATTGTTGGATTCTCAAGTCTGTTGGGGTTTTCTTTTTCTCTTCGCTACAAGTTTCTCCAAGCATAGACTTTGCATCATGATTTCAAGGAGCGGGGACGGCCCTGTTATGATTGGTTTTTTATGTTGGTTGGCCGGTTTCCCTTCTCGCCTATGCTATGCGACACTAGACGGAGAAAAAAGTATGGTATGTCATGTAGAGAAAAGAAAAAAAGACATATCAGGAAAAAGAAAGAGAGAGAGAGTAGATGACAAACTGTCTTGTCGGCTTTTTGTTTTTGGTTGGCGATACTGTACAGATGTTTGTATGGATAGACGTGACAGCGCGCTGGCAAAGGACGACAGTTTCGTTGTATTCTACATCTGTTGGACAAAATGCAAGTAGATAAAAAAAGGACGTCAAACACTACTTGCTGTTGCCTGCCCGGATATGACTCTAGTAAATTGGGAAAAAGGTGATTCGAGCGAGGCACTGCATTTCGTATCCAAGTCTTTGCATACTGTATGCTCCAAGATTTATTCGCGTGCTTCTTCCCTCGCCCCTAATCTACACCGTCTACCTACTCTTACATGACACAATTCCCCATAAGCAGACACATCTTTGGAAATTCCCTCTGTTTCTCAATTAACCAGCATGGGCCACAATCTGATTGACCAAGTCGCCCTTTTCTGCATCAAAATACGTGCACATTTGCGACGGCAGCGGCACCTCCTTGTAATCGTCGTCGGGCCCCGCAATCACATTGAGGTTGATGCTGTCCGACTTGCTGTGAAAGATTTGCGCGCCAATGCTCTCCTTGCTAAAGTAAATCTGGGCGCCGTCGACCTGGTCCATCATGACGGTCGGGATCGTGCCCAGAACCTGCAGGGCAAAATTTTGCGCCTTGACCACGTCGACTGTCGACACGAGCGTGTCTACAACGAGTGACAGGCGAGATGAGTTTTCCACCGTCACTTGATTGGCCTTGCCGCGGACAATGATGGTTGTGTTGTTGCAACGACTGATGAGGACCGAGTGGTTGAGCTCGGCATTAATCTCGATAGGCTGCGGCTCCTTTTCATAGTTTTCCTGCGATAAGCCGTGTCAGTAAGTATCAGAAGAGGAGCATTGGTACGGGTGAGAAGCATACGATAGTCCACTTGTTGCCTTCAAGTTCCTTCTTGGGAGGCTTCTTCATGCGCATGCTCTGAGGCTTGGGCTTTTTGCCCGGGGCAGGGCTCTTAGAGCGATCGTTACCGCTGGGAACACTGCTGCTGGCACGCAGCGAAGGGTTTTTGTGTGTCATCTGTGACTTGTCGACTTTGCGCAGGCCCTTTGTGACGGAATCACCTTTGTTGAGGTCTGAGAAGACGGCCCCGAGACCGCTTGGTGCAGAGGACGCGGCGGGCGCAGCATTGTCGGTCTTGATATCCAGGACCGGAGCAGGGCCAGGCGGTGGCGGAGGAGGGGGAGGGGGTGGGCCACCAGCAGAGGGAGCTGGGAGTGCAGACACGGCAGGGCTGGGGGCCGAGTCGAGCGCCTGGACGACCGCAGCAGCTGGCTCACCCTTGGGGTTCCACGGAATGCCATTGGCAAAGTACTGCTTGACGTAGTCGCGAAGTTGCTTGAATATTTGGTAGAAGGACTGAATCCATTCGACCTGGCTGGCATCCCTGACCATATCGGTTAGTATATGTATTCGATAAAAGACATGATGTTCGATGGACATACTTGTCTTTGTATTCCTTGATGACGCGGTTGCCGAAGAATTGAGCGGATCCAAGGAACTCTTCAACGTGGGTATACGGTTTGTGGCTAACGGTGACCCAGGCGAGGACCATGATGCCGTCGGCAACGGCGCTCAGCTGTGTGTACATTGGGTCAGAGCGGTTGGCCTCCTTGAGTTCGGTAACGGCCATGAGCGAGTCGTTGATGGGTTTGAGGAGGTCCTGGTACAATGCCATGTCGGCGCCCTGTAGGTCGGGCTTTATGGATTTCGTGGTGATGAGCAGAAATTTACGCTGGGCCTTGAATCCAGCCAGCACGTCGGCGGCTTGCTTTGCGACGAGGCCTCCAATTTCATTGCTGCGCTGGACATAGTCGGCGACGGTCGAGTCGACAAAAGCGTCAAAGTCCTCAATCGACTCGGGCAGCTCCTCGGGGACGGGCTGCGACGCGGATCGCGGTGCTCCGATGGCCGAGGCATCCGGGTTGTTGAGGGCGGAAGACGAGGGTGCGGGCGCGGCGAGGGCGCCGACCTCCTTGGGGAGCTCGGTCGAGGTGGCGATGTCTTCGAGGCGCGAGGTGGCAGCTTCGAGTCTGTAGAGGGGCTGTTAGCGATCAAGGTAGCGAACTAATAGGCAGCTACAGGAAGGACCGCAGGCTAGCGGGGGTGCTGCAATTGCGTCCTTCAGGGTTAACCACCTCTTGATCAGCGTCGTGAGGTTGTGCATTTGGCTTGCGGCGGCCATGATTGCGTCGCTGCTGTAGTCGTCGCTGCAAGTTGGTCGGTTGGAATTTGAGGTGCACGGTCCCAAGGGGGTAAGGAAGCAGAAGAAACCAGTCTTGTCGGTCGAAGTTGAGGGTGTAGAAGCGTCTAGAAAGTAACAATGCTGATTTGGCGACGAAACCAAAAAGAAAGGTTAGAATTTCAGGCACCAGGAAAGGCTGGCGGGTTGATGTTGAGAAAGCAATGAGTGTTGTAGCCTGGAGAGCCGCATGACGACAACTCAGCAGCCAGCAACTAGCTGCGACGTGAGTGGGTCCTCCCCGCCGATTGGATAACTGCCAATAATAATGCATAAATCAAAGCTGGTGCCTGGCGTCTGGCTAGCGTCTAGCATCGGGTGTTTTAAGATCTCATAACTTGGTTTTTTCGTGAAGCATTCGGGAATAGGCATCTTTAAGTGGCGAATTAGCACTGACAACTGATTGAAAGGTTAGTCGCAGTACTTGTAATACCGACTTACCTAGCAATAGGTAGAAAATATACATCCCCTATCTATCACTACTATTCGATTATCAAATTAAAGATTATAAAATCTCTACTTAAATAAGTTAAATAGAACATTCCTTACTATAAATAAACTATTACTTTAATATTATATTAAATCGTAATTACTTTTTTATTTACTTCATTCAAAGATATTTATAGATATAAATAGCTAAGATTTATGAATAGTATAAGAGTATAAGGGTTATAAATGCAGTTTCGTCTTTCTAGAAATTATCAAGCGGCGGTGTGTAGCTAAGTTGGCAAGTATTCCTTATTCTTTGTGGTGCTGGCGTTTTGAATGCTATTTGGAACCAGCATCGTTAGATGAGCAAACGGCAAGGAACCCCCTAAGGACGGTGATATGCCTGAGGTTGATCGTCAACTTGATACTTCATCTTAGAAAGAGAGAAGAAAAGCTTTTTATTAATCGTCCTTATATTTGCTTCTGTGTCTGAAGCGCTTACTGTTGGATTGCGTGAAGGAAAAAAAAAACAAAAGAACAAAGTCGTGCACATGTACATATATAAGTCAAGCAAAGATTAATACCAGCAGAGCCACTCAAAGAATAAGGTCCGTGAGAGAACGACAGAGTGGCAGAGAGCTCTAATTCATGAAAAAAGAATTCATTGGTTGGTTCTTTTATTTAGCGTTTGCCGTTTCGTGGCCATCTCGTAACAAAGAGGTGCGGTGGCAGCTGGGGGTATGGGGTCAATCTGAGCCGGCACTGCTTGACCTGGTTATCAGTCGGCACATTGGTTAAATTTCGGTGCTCGTTATATCCTGTCACGATGAGCACGGAGTGAACCCCCTTCAACCCCGCTTCAACACCCCTCAAGCTCACCCTGGAGCGCGGTGCGGCGTCATCATATGGTAGCGCGTGCCGAAACATGCCCCGAGAACAAAGCCGCATATTAAGAGTCGGAAGGCTTATCAAACACAATCGAATAAGTGTAGTCGGAACAGAGTGATTTACCACGCAAGAGAAGTCAATTGTCAACTAGATAAAGCGCGAGCTCTAGTTAATACTCTATGCTCATCTAAATATGTAGATGCATAGGGAGACAAGGATTAGAGCTAGCCACTTTATAACCCTGCAGCGAAACTTTAACTCAAGATACCAAGCTTCATAGCCGTGCTTGCTTTCTAGGCTTTGCCATGCTGCGCGATAGTCTGCTTTAAGCAGTTCTCAAAGTCCTGGTCCTTAGCATAGACCCAACCTTCACGGCGGACGAGCTGTGCTTTCTCGTCAATTTTGTTTGCCACGAAGCCCTCGCTGTCACTCTGCTCCAACTCCTTAAGGGATGCAGGCATGAGTCTTGGATAATCTTCATCTCAACGGGGTCCTCATACACAACCTCGTGCTTTGCCTAAACAACCTTATTTCGCTGCATGATCTAACCCCAGAAACCACGATGTCTGTGGGAGCACCTTACACGGCATATTCTCATGGCGTCATCAAGGTCGAACTTGCATGATTCGGACCAAGCGGCGTTACGCTAGCCTGTACATTAATTAGCGGTGTTAAGCTGGCCTGTACATTAACAAGGGGGTTATAGAGGGAGAAGGCTATGCGGGCGACGAACTGCACAGAATAAGTGCCGGAGTGGAGTGTCTCAAGGCATGGAGTCATAAATATCGCCGGCCTGATGTCCCGTGGCTGTGGCGTTCTTAGTTCAGACCATTTAGACTTTTCTCCAACCTTAATAAAGTGTCGGGCAACCGGGGTAGGATTAGGCGTGCCGGGGTAGGATTAGGCCCGCCGGCTTGGGCCGCGCCGCGTGACTTTCTACATGAAACGCATAAAACGCATCAAAAGGTAAACATTTAGGATGACATTAACCATGTTGAATTGCAATTGAAGCGCAGGAACTAGCATTATCAGGGATTTTGTGGCTATAGTTGTCTAGTGTAGCTCGTATACACCGGATACGGCATTATAATCCACTACTGATAACTATACTGCTACAGGACATAAGATCACAAGGGTTGATATTACATTGATGGAGTTCATATTGGTGTTAATAAATGCGTATATTCACCGACGGTGACTTTTTCTCCAAGTTGCACAGCCAAGCATTACCCCGTCAAGCCTTAAGGTCATGAAGTAGCTAATGCACCGAGGCTATAGAAGTAGAAGACGTACTTGGGTATATTATTCAAATTGCCTCAGAGGAGATTCGTATCATGGTCCGAGTCTGAGTCAAAGGTCCAATTATCAGTCCAGCTGAACAAATCCGACAGATGAATCCTAGTCGGCATGCTCAGCGGTTGTGGACTACGTTCTGGCATGTACGATGTAAGTATTTAGAGTCTCGCTTCCGCCAGCCCAAACTCGAAAATAAAACTCTGGTCCTCAAGCTACCAAGTTGCCCAGCGCCTTACAAAGAAACGCTACGCTAAACAGCTTACACAAGCTTTCGGTCAGAATCATTGTAAGTCCCTGTGCAACCATTTAGCCCCCCTTCGATATATACCATAAAGTGCATCTTTCCTCTAACCTTGGGTCTTCTTCAGCCGTTCATAAGAAACTAAATCATCATCAACAACAGGAAATCTAATATAAATCTCTGAAGCCATGGCATTGCCCAAGATTACGGGGTTTCTGTGGTTCTACCTTGGTATCCTGCTGGCTTTTGGTCAAGTCTTGACAGTCAACGGGCAAGGTAAAGACGGAGAATGGGAGCTTCCAGCTGAGCCGGCACTCGCAGCGGATGGCCTTCAGATCAAGCTTGACCGTGACCTGTACAAGAAGCAGGGCTCCATTGTCTACGCCAGTCATCTCCAGTCTGATGAGAAGCTAGACATTTCGGACAGCCAGCTATACAGAATTGCCAAGGATGCTTTCATGGAGATGAGAAGCAGCGCCAAGAAGAACGGCCTTACTGAAAAGATCCCAAATGTCATGACGACCCTCTTTATTAACAACGAACTCATCTTTGCGTCTTCGGCAAAAGGACCAAAGGACCCTTATAATAAAGACGACCAGGTCGTAGGCGATCTGACAGTTTGCTCCAAGGCCAATGAGGGCAGACGTCACAAGAATGGAGGAAGGTGTGGTGAGGTGATGGCCTTTCACGAATGGTACCAAACCCATGTGGGTTCCCCACGGTTGGACAAGAACAGTGGCGCCAAGATTGTCGCAATTTCCGAGCAGTGGAATGCCGCTAGAACGAAGAGGGAGCCTCTTATCTTGCCCCCCTGTGGCAACGACGTATGTATCTCTGTCTCTCTACATGCTCAAAAGTCAAACGAGGCGGCCCTCAGAGCAACGTACTAACTGAATGTCTAGAAGGAATGGGGCTGCAACGTTTTTATTAACGGCGTATACGCATTGGATGATGCCAAGGTTGCCGCGGATCTTGCCAAAGATCCCAAGAAGCCAGCGTTTCGATACAAGAATATGATTAAAGAGAAGAAACTGAAGCCGGCGCCCGGCAAGCCAGTCCCGCCTCCCAAAGAATAACAACAGTCCGCTGAAGAACAATAAGCCAAAGAAGCCTTGAAGAAGCGAGCACCGCTGCTACTTTCGAGCGCAAAACTGAACTGTCAGCCAATATTAGCTTGTGTCGGACGTGTGTACCTGGGATAGATGGACTTGGTCTTGGTTTCTCTATTCTCTAAGAAATTTGTATACTCGTTTGAGAAGTAGCTATATTTGGGCTTGGAACCATTATAGGTTATTTTCTGTAGATTTTGCTACTTGGCAAATAAAATTATTCGTCTTGGTTACGAAAATCGTCTCTTTCACGACCTCATAGCGACCATTGCCAAGTTACTTGAAGGCTCTATCGAAAAAAGTGTATGGGGGTAGCTCTATTAACAGCTGAGCTAATTAGCGAGGTCGACGAGCGGGTATATCCGACTGCTTATTAAGTGGCTCATCAACATGTAATGATGTCATGTCAAGTAACTTTGTCGCTGGCAGGTACCTGTATTTAGGTGCCTGGCTAGCCCGCATGGGGGATTATTTATCATGTGCTGATCTGACTTTTGAAACAATCAACAGCCTCGTATGACACAGCCCTGTATTGCTATAGATGTGTCCTATTGACCAATTGCGGCATGGTTCAATGCAATCCGAGCCGCGCTTCCTGTCTCGGCCCGCAGATGTGGCATAAAAGTTTACTTGTCAACCTACTAGGCCCGGAAAGGGCAAACATTGCTCACTCGTTTCACGCAGTCAATGCCTATAATTGAAGTGGAGAGCATACGAACAAAAACCGACAATCCACCTACCTCTCTAACTATAGCTAGACCACAGCCACCTCACCTCATACAACGGCTCTTCATCTTAATCCCATTCGCCTTTCACGAGAAAAGAAAAAAAAAAAAGAGGCTAAAAAAAAAAGGGAAAAAAAAAGGAAAGAAAAAAAAAAGGAGAAGAAGATGGCCCTGTCACCGCTAGACTGGCCGAGCGAGCTACTTCTGTCTCTCTTGGAGCTGCTACCCTTGAACGACTTGCTTTCCATGACTACTGTCAACAAATCCATCCGCACCCTGGCCCTGCCTCTAGCCTACTCGACGGTTGAGACACGCTGGACCTGGCATCGCCTGCCACCTGTCATCCAGCTCCTGCAATCTCTTCTCGAGCGGCGCGAGCTGGCCGGCTACATCCGCAACCTGCGCCTTGTCGGAAATGGCTTTGACGACAGGACTGAGCTGTCGGAGCCGCCCATCTTCCCCCTCGGCGCCGACTTGCTCAGCAAGGCGACCGAGATAATCGAATCCACTAGAGTACCATTCACGAAGCTTTGGATCGACGAGCTACACTCTGGCAGCGTCGACGCCATTGTGGCGCTACTTGTCGCCATGGCGCCGAACCTGACGTCTCTTCATCTCGGACCCAACTTTACTGTTCGAAGCCGACTATGGGGAGGCATATTTCACTACGCTCTCTGCGGGCCACCAAAAAATTGCAACTTGCCTACATATCAGAACCTACGCTCAGTCGAGACGAGTTGGAGGACCAAAGAATGGCACCATATTGCCGTTTGCAACACGGCGGATGTTCTTCCCCTATTTTATCTCCCGCGAATCCAGAACCTATCCGTATCGATTGACAACCCGGTCGAGTTTGCCTGGCCTTCTTCACACCCGCCAGCCCCCTCATCTCTCGCGTCACTGGACATCTTCCGGCTCCGCGAATCACGCATCGGCCCCGTGCTCTCGGTTCTCAAGGGACTCCAAAGACTACATTGGCACTGGTCGTATCAGCCAGACCTCGACGAGGAGGTCAGCAAAGGCGTGCTAGAATTCGATAAGGCAGCGACAGCATTGAACCAAGTTGCTGATACGCTCACTGACCTGACAATCGGTGCCCTCACACGCCCGAGGATATCGGACGGGGACTACGATCCTCCTCCGCTGGAGCTTCGGGGATCGCTCGATCTTTCCCGCCTTGGCAAGCTGACCAAACTACGTCTCCCATGGGTCTTCTTGATGGGTTGGTCAAAATCATCCTCATCCGCTAGGAACCTCGTGGATCTGCTTCCTTTGAGCCTTGAGCTGCTTGAACTGACGTCAGACTTGAATGACCATGATGAATGGGAATGGCACAACGACGACTCTATTATCAACGCGATCAAAATACAGCTTACAAGGCAATCCGTAGCGCGCTACCCTTGTCTGCGTCGCATTGTTCTACCTATCCCAGGCGAGTATAGCGAAATGACGGATCAGCGCGAAGAGGAGCTAGCCTCCATTGGCACCAAGGCGGGAATCGAGTTGGGGTGGATTGAGGAGTCTGGATATGAGGAAGAAGAACAGTTTTGACAGGTATTCAGTACCCACGTCAACCTATATCAGCGCGATTAATTCAGAACTTCAGAGGATCTGAGAGCAAATGCAGCGTCTTGGATCTGCGTTAACGGCCAATGCTTGAAGTTTCTGGCGTCGCTCGTGGGGAATGAGAGCATGAGCATGGGCAACGATTGCCTTGTACAATCAAAGGGCGCCATATAATTGTATGCAGAGGCCTATAAAATTGACAAAGTGCAGACACCTTTCACTACGCAAAGAATTTGGTGTTTGGTGTCTATTTTTGGCTTGGAATCCCAAACGAGCGTTGCCAGATGCCGAGAATGCATGCACGGAGCCCATAACCGGGTACATGTTCGTTTGCATCCAAGAACAGGTTGACTACTGATGCTCGATTCCAAGCACAATCGCGACATTGAGACTGCAGAGAAGATAGGCCAAGGTGTGAGCATGATTTATAGGAAGAAGAGGAGCAGAATGAGTGGAGGGGAAACAAAATCAGGCTGCCACACAGAGTTGGGCACATGGGCAAATATTGTTACTAGGGAGTCGTAACCATAATCACGAATAACCATCCAACTTGGAACCGTAATTATTTATAACCACATTCCAACAGTGGCGAGGTCCAAGAATCGCGGCCCCCCTCCCCGCCCCGCGCCCTCTCTTTAGAGCATGGCTGCGGCGAACTTGGGCATGGCAGGCCGAGGCTGACCGGGGCACCAGCAATCTCTTGGTGACCTTGTCACTAGTCGCGTTGACCGGCCTCGGGTCGGCGAGCAGTTTGGCGTCGGCGGCGTCCTTGCGCTTCTGGGCCTCGACAAGCGAGGACCACAGGCTCTTGTGGTTTAACACGAGCTCGCCGAGCTTCTTGGCCTGCTCGGCAATCGCCTGGCTACCCTCGGGAAGACCGTGCGCGGAGAGCGCTTGTTCCTGGTCCGTCAGGCTCGTGACGATGACCTGGCTCAGCCCAGTGGCCAGGAAGAGCGACGTAGGCCCGGCGAGGTTTGGGATCTTGGGGGCACATCAGGGTTGACGATGATGCGGGCGTTTCGCTCGTCCTCGGGGGTCAGCATGAGACTCCAATGACCCTGAAGGTACTGCTGCTTGGCCAGCCACACCTTGCTCGCGTCCGCCACCCTGCCAAACTTGACGGCGATAAAGGTCTGCAGATCGCGGGCGCCCTGGGCATCGCTGTTGGGGAGCTTGGTGGAGAGCTGATCTTCGGCGAGCTCGCCTAGCAGCAGCTTGGCCACTTGCGTTGTGTGGTGCAAGGTATACAGCTGGATCGAGGCCTCGGACATGTTTGTGAGCGTATCCCTGAGGTGGTCTTGGACGGAGAGCGTCTTGTCGCTTAGCGGAGCAACTCTCTGGGACTGTCCCGGAATCATTTAGCTACTAACTATCTATTCTTACGATATCCTCAAACCTTTGACGCTCTCACAAAACATTTCATCATACCTACTAGTCAAATAAACTGCACCGCAAATATGGTTCGTATCGCGGTCTCTGTCGTTCTCGCTTGTACGTCTTCATAATCGTCATCTCTCCATGCTGCGGCCCTGACTAACAAAACGGACAGTTGCCGTTTCTGCCATGGCCCTCTCTGGTGACGGTGTTGCCGCCCAGGCCGCCGCTCTACGCGTATGCGACGACGTCGAGGCCCCGGACGCCGAGGCTCGCCTGGCTGACACCCCCGAGGACGTCAAGAATTGGATGGCGGCCGTTGCCGAGGCCGCGGGTCAGCTTCAAAAGGTGGCTCAGGCGGCTGCCGAGGGCGACGGCCAGCGCTCCGCCTACGGTGGTCAAGCTTGGGCTGCCAGCCGGAACCCTTTCGCCCTCGCCGGCGCACCTACATGAACGGTCTGAAATTCGCGCTGTACAGCTCACCTATATCTGTAGTTGCACTTTAATGGGACTGAAATCTCGTATCTAGTGGAATGGACACGCGGTTACACAAGACACCAGCAGCTAGAAGTATAATAATCTATACCACAGCCAGATACATTAACCAATCATCTTCCCGCACAACCCTACAATATGCTACAGACTACGCAATGGCCATGAGGAGGCCTTAAACAGGACCAAAGACGGAGCCGTTTCTCGATGCTCTAAGCCTTTGACCCTGCCACAGTAAGGATTGCTACCTAGTTTCATGTCATGTCACTTGATATGAGCCGTACTCGCCGCGGATATATCAGAGTGGAGTGGGAAAATAATGTCTTTTAGCAGTTGGAGCTGCAGTGTTATCTAGTGCAGTCCTCCACCAAGTACCTTCTGATTCCCTATTCGTCCACGGCTCTGTCATCTACGCTGCCGAGCGTTCACGTCTCTCCCATCGTACCACCGCAGGCTGAGTCGGCCGAGAGAACAAGGATGTGTAATCTGTGGGTGGCACCACCGCCTTGCCATCCAGCGTAGCGAACTTAAAGTGTCGGACCAACGTGCTGATAATGGTGGCAAGGTTGAGGTAGGCAAACTTCTCGCCGATGCAACGGTGCCGGCCGGCACCAAATGGCAGGTATGGACTCTTGGTGCCCTTGGAAGTGGCGCCGTAGCCGTAGTCGACAACCTCGTCTTCTTCGGCTTCGACCTCGTTGTCCCACCGGTGCGGATCCCAAGTTAGGGCGTTGCGAAAGTAGTCCTCGTTGAGATGTGTCATGAGGGGCGAAGCAACAAGGACCTTGTCGGGAGTGATGACATAGTCGCTATCGGGCACTCGCATCGGCTGCTTGACCTTGCGCATGATGGAGTGGATTGACGAATGTACCCGGAGCGTCTCCTTGACCACATTCGAGAGAAGCTGGAGCTTGTCGAGGTCGGCGTATTGGAGCCGATGCGTAGGGCCAAAACCTTGCTGTTTCAGTTCCTGGTACAACTCCTCGGCGATGTCAGGGCGCGAAGCAAGACGTAGCATGATCCATGCGCTCGAGGAAGAGGACGAGTGTTGCCCAGCCATTAGAAGCGTAATCATCATGTGTGCAATCTCCTTGTCAGGGAGGGCCCGGCCATTCTTGTACACGCACTGCATCAGGTTGCGAATCATGTCGGCCTCCTCCTCATCATCCTCCTCCTCAAAACCGCTCGCCTTGCGGCGCTCGTTGATGAGCTCCGTGTAGATGTCTCGCATGCGGCCATGTGCAAGGTCGCGTCGTCGGTTCTGGGGAAGCGGAGCCCACGGCATGAGGAAGTTGATGGGGCGAAACCCAAGGTCAAGATCGTGGTAGAGCTCAGCGAATTCTCCCGTCAGCTTTTTCCGGACCTCTGCGCCCTGAAGGCTGCGGCCGGCCGTGAATATGGTAATTTCGGCCATCGCTTGGGAAATATTGACGGTGCCTCGGTTGCCTTGGAGGGCAGGCGCGGATTGTATGTAGTCAATGACCTCCTTCTCAATCAACGGGACGTACGAATCGAGGGCTTTTTGCGTCAGCCCGAATTTGACGAATTTCTTCTGCTCCATGAGCTTCGAGTTGGGGCAGTCATAAATGATGTCGCTCCCAAACACCGGCGTCGTCAGCGGGCTATAGATCTCCTCGGCATTTAGTTCTTGCAGTTTGCCATTCAGGATAAAATCGTTGCCTGTAACTCCTAGGTAGACAGTCATCTTCCTGCCAAACAGGACAAACGTGAAGATGTCACCGTACTTTTCGCGGCATCGGGAATAGAAGTTGAAGGGATTCATGCCGTAAGAGATGGCATTGCCGACAAATGGCAGCCAGTGGAAGACTACTGGCGGCTCTGACTTTGGGCGAGGCAATTGCAGCCAGAGAACGTTGATGATGATGCACGCTAGGACGAAGGCGAGGGCCACGCCGCCGGCATACGCCATGGACGAGGCATTCGGGACGAAGTCAGTCATTGGGACTTGGTAAATATGCAATAGAACGAGCAAGAGGGAAGGAGAACGCGCAGCTGGTGCTCGCTGGGTTTTGATGGACAGAGAATAAGTGCATCACGTATCCGAGATAATACGAATACGATCACGACACCCAAATTATATGAATCACGGTCATGGTGTACTGCAAATATTCTTTAGTAAGCGATTAGCTCAAAGCAGCATTAATCTCTTAGCCATTACTGATCAGCGCCGCCTCCAACCTTCGTCTTTGTCAGTCTCTACCATCGACCCAGCCGCCAAGAGGCTCCTCGGTGACTCTGTGCAAGTATCGTCAAGTCGACCTAACAACACCAGGATAATCTCGGAATTAGTCGAGGATCGATTCAAACTGATGTGTCCGCCCGACTTGCTTGTTCCAAGTCACCCGGCACACGAACTCCATCGTCCATCATGGAGCACTCGGTCAGGAGCGGCAACGGGCTACAGGTCGCCATAGCGGCCGGATCGACCCGTGGCCCACATAAGATATACCCCCGGGAACAGCCTGGCCTGTGGAACCCTACGTCCTAAGGTTTTTAAATCTCATTATATAAATTTTTTTAAATTAACTAGTAAAGTTCTAAGTTATTTTATAATAAAAATACTTTTTTTTAAGTATTTATATCTTTTAATTAAAGATATTTAATCATTAAC